AGTTAAAAGATATAGTTATAAAAAAATATTTGTTTTTTTAGAATCACAGAATGTTCTTTGTTAGTAATGGGGGACTTTAATTACCCTGACATCAACTGGGAGACAAACTCTGCACCAAGTGGAAGATCAAACAGATTCCTGACAAACGTAGCAGAAAACTTTTGTCTCAAAAAAAGTAGAGAAGGGAACTATGGGATCAGCCATATTGGACTTAATTCTCACTAACAGAGACGAAATTATAGAAGGTGTTGAACCTTGGGGGAGAGAGTGATCATGCAATATTGGAATTCAACATTATGCAAGCACAAGCAATAGAACATAGTCAAACTAGAGTCCTGGATTTTAAGACAGATAATTTCAATAAACTTAGAAAGAGCCTGGGAAGGATTCCATGGATGAAAATCCTCAAGGGGAAAACAACTCAAGCTTTGAAAATTGAAATTTTGAAAAGTGAAATTATAAAAGCCAAATTTAGCACAATACCAATGAAGAGAAAAAACAACAGCTCTCAAAAGAAACTAGCATGGCTGCATAAAGAACTCTCTGATAAATTGAAAGACAAAAAGGGCAAGTATAAAAAAATGGAAAGAGGGGCACATAACTAAGGCAGAATATCAGCAAATAGCCCGAGCCTGCAAAGACAAAGTGAGGAAAGTTAAGGTTCAGAATGAACTAAGGCTTGTGACAAAAGTCAAAAATAACAACAACAACAAAAGCTTCTTTCAACATGAAAACAAGAAGAAAAAAACTTAAGGAAATGATTGATCCATTAGTGAGAGAAAGTGGCAAGAAGGTGACAAGCAACAGGGAGAAAGCAGAACTATTTAACTCATTTTTTGCATGTCTTTACACAAAGGGAAAAAACAATCCAATCTATCAAAAACAGTACCATAAAAAATAGATTAGAAACACAAGTTAAGATAGGCAAGAAAATGGTAAGTGAGCACCTGTCCAGCCTAGATGAGTTCAAATCACCAGGACCAGATGGATTACACCCCAAGGTTCTCAAGGAACTGGCAGATGTGATCTCAGAACCACTGAACTATATCTTTCAAAGATCCTGGCACACTGGGAAACTACCAGAGGTCTGGAAAAGAGCTGATGTAGTTCCCATCTTCAAAAAAGGGGGAAAAATGGATCCAGGAAACTACAGACTTATCAGCCTGACGACAATACCTGGGAAGATTCTGGAAAAGATAATCAAGCAACGAATCAGCGAACACCTAGAGGCAAACAAAGTCATTACTAAAAGCCAACATGGGTTTGTCAAAAACAGATCATGCCAGACAAATCTTATTGCATTCTTTGACCAAGTGACAAAATTAGTGGACCAGAGAAATGCTGTGGATATAATTTACTTGGACTTCAGTAAGGTATTTGATAAAGTAGACCACAACCTACTACTTGATAAGATAGGAAAATATGGATTAGACAGCATCACCACCAGATTGATTCGCAGCTGGCTGACCAGCCGTACTCAGCGTGTGGTCTTCAATGGAACTGCATCTACATGGAGGGAAGTGTGTAGGAGAGTGCCCCAGGGCTCTGTTCTGGGCCCAGTGCTCTTCAACATCTTCATCAATGATTTGGATAAGGGGATAGAATGGGAACTCATCAGATGTACAGACGACAACAAGCTGGCAGGAATAGCCAACGCTCCAGAACATAGGCTTAAGATACAGAAGGATCTTGACAGACTTGAACATCTAACAAAATGAAATTCAATGGTGAAAAAAGTAAGTCTCTACATTTAGGCAAGAAAAACCAAATGTACAGGTACAGTATCAGTGGTACTTGGCTCAGTAGTAGTAACTGTGAGGGGAATCTTGGAGTCCTAGTGGACAATCACTTAAATATGAGCCAACAGTGTGCTGCAGCTGCCAAAAAAGCCAACACAGTGCTGGGCTACATTAACAGAGGGATAGAATCAAGATCACGTGAAGTATCAATACCACTTTACAATGCCTTGGTAAGGCCACACTTGGAATACGGCATCCAGTTTTGGTCATCACAATGTAAAAAAAGATGTTCAGACTCTAGAATGTGTACAGAGAAGAGCAACAAAGATGATTAGGCTAAAACATACCGTATGTGGAATTGGGTATGTCTAGTTTAATGAAGAGAAGGACTAGGGATGACATGATAGCAATGTTCAAATATCTCATGGGTTGTCACAAAGAAGAGGGAGTCAAGCTATTCCCCAAGAAGCAATGGATGGAAACTAATCAAAGAGAAAACAACCTAGAACTAAGGAGAAATTTCTTGACAGTTAGAACAATTAATCAGTGGAATAACCTGTCTCCAGAAGTTGTGAATGTTCCACTACTAGAAATTTTTAAGAAGAGACTAGACAATCATTTGTCTGAAATAGTATAGGGTTTCCTGCCTGAGCAGGGGATTGGACTAGAAGACCTCCCAAGGTCTCTTCCAACATCATCATCATCATCATCATCATCATCATCATTATTATTATTACTACCAATGATGCTCCAGATAAGCTTGATATGAGTCATAAAATTATTAAAGTATTCAATATACATTTAAAGTCTAGATACCTAAAAACTGCTAATTAAGAAATTAAAAGAGTTTGTCCTATTGTATCATGACATAAAAACAGATTTACTACTACTACTACATTTACAACAAAATACTTTTTTTCCATTTCAGACAATAAGTATATGTCTGTGCCTTTCACCAAGATTACATCATTGAATTTCTTTCGATCAAAGCTTCTTTCTTTGGATAACTGATGCAATGGACATTCACCAATGCAATAGAAGAAACAATTCTTAAAACAAGATTTTTTTTCTGTTACAATTGTTCAGTAGACGATGTGTTGATGTTTACATCTTTTAAAAAATTGGCAATTACATTATTTCCCATTCATTAGACTTGAGGGAGATCAGCATATAGTTGGATGTAAAAATGTCAGTCTATCATATATTAGACCTTCATGGCTGCTGTACTCAGTAAAAGAAATTAATGCAAGGAACTTACACTAATATTAAAGTTTAAGTGAGTTTGATGAACATACTAAGAAAATGTGCACAAGATTGCAGTTTTTAAATAACCTGATGGGATGATAAATAATTATTTTATAAATAAATATATATAAGGTACATTTTTTTTGAGGTTAGTTATGTTGCATTAAAACACTCTAAAACAGCTATGTTATACATTTTGATTTAGGAAGTAAGCTTAGTCGTTTCATATCACCTACAGAAAATTCCAATTGCAGTCAGCTTTAACCAACAATAGCTATATTAGTAACACTACTGAACATTTTAGTTTAGCATATTTTACAATCACAGTTTGCATTGCATTGTTAACTTTATAGCTCACTGTATCAAGCATACCTAGAAAAATTGCTTTTTTAAAAAAAGGATAAGTTTACTATAGCTAAGCAGCAAGTGATATGAATACAACCAGTATTTTACAGCAGTGGTTCTGAACATTTTCTTCACCATGACCCCCCCCCCCCACACACTTTAAATACATTTTGTGGCCATGGACCCCCAAGATTTAACTCCAGATTTAAATCATAACTTTTTTTCCAGCCTTCACAGACTTCTTGTGAGATTAATTGCAGCCCCCCCAGAGGTCCATGGACCAGAGATTGAGAACCACTGTTTTACAGTATACCGATTTTGGAAGAACTGCATTGGAAAAATAGCTTGATAGAATCCTCATTCATACAAACAGAAAAACAAACCATTCCATTTTAATGCTTTCACTTAATTTTTCTTTAGAAACAGAGAATGTTTGTTAAAGCCTTTATGAATAGAAATCTGTATCTTCGTTGTGACAGCAGGGGAGAAATACTGATGGACAGATAACTACATTCATGTCCTAACTTATAAAGTGCCTTGTTTATTTTGTGTTGGTATATTTGTAAAATAAATTTATATCTCAGCTAGTGAGATAAAATTTAGCCATTTTGTCCTAGAAATCCTACTTAACAATTATGGATTAGCACTACATTTAAATCCTAAATTGTGCAGAATCAATATATTTTTTTATATTTTCTCTGGGCTGGAAAGATATCAGGATAGTCATTCAGAGTCAGGACTGAGTAGATTGCACATGATGCCCGACTTACAATACTGTATATTTCCATGTTTTGTGGTTGTTACAATGCACATCTAAATTATTTATGTTTTCTTCACTGTTATTTAATCCGCTGAAATTCAGAAATGTACGGTATTGCTTTTTTAAACAGTAGAATAAGCTTAATTTGGAAAAGCTTCTGTGCTTTTTGTGTTGAAAAAGATTGCAGCATGAAGTTACCATGAATGGTACCCTCGACTTCAAACACGGCACAACGTAGTGAAAATCAAACTGTGTCACTGCGTTTCTTTATGGACAAAAACCCTTGCTGTTTTACTTTTAAGCACATAGAGAATGTGTCAGAAAAAGAGATGTTCCAATCTCCAGCGGATCGCGCCCAGGCAGCCGTTTCACCTTCATTTCGCACAGATTTTCTATCCATCATTCAGAGCTGACCTTCCTTCTCAGCTACAATTCCCTCATCATCAACTCCACTTCTTGAGAAACTGTTGGCGCTTCTTCTGCACTTTACTGTGGTGCCGGAGGCCTAACCCGTGAAAGCCTCGCAAGACTACGCCTGCCCACGAATAACTCTCACCTCGCAATTAAAATAGCTCTTGCGCAGTAACCGTGACATCCATCTTTGAGGTGGGCAAAATCTTTTTTTTTTTTATGTCGCTTCCCTTACGGAAACTGTAACCGATCCTATATAAGTACTTTTCTACAGACTGGTAATTAATAAATATCAAGGTTCGGGAGGATATAAACACTACAAACAGCTTATTTTCATAGATATCACTTAAGTTTCACGATGGAGAAATATGCCCGAGATAAAGATGGAGGAATATGCTTTAGTGGTTGAGATGGAAAAGAAGGGAGGGAGAAAACTGATGGCGGACAAGATTAAATATTTTCGGGGTGGAAATTCTCGCGATATCTTAGACGAGGCCGGAAGACAGGGAGTCAGCAGAGTCTCCGGCCTCTCAGTACGTGTGCGTAGGCGTCATTGGGCTGTTTGGCGGTTACGCAGCGGAGTCAGCGTTGGGGGGTTTGAGAATTGGTGGTGCAGCGGGAGTAGTAACTGAAGCACCACCACTACTGGTGAGGGAGGGGTCATTTCGCTCCTTGCCGCCGCAGCTGAGTGGGAAGAACGTAAGGAAGAACAGCCACAGCCGCCACCAGCATCATGGGTGAGTCTCCATCCCGAGCACTTTTCTGCTGCTGGGGAAGGGCGGGAGTGGAAATGCCGGCTTGGGCGGGGGCGATGACAAATGGAGGAGCAAGTCCCGGGCCCGTTCAGGCACCTTCAATTTCTTTCTTCCTTCGCGCTGCTTCCCATGGCGGCGAAAGCTGTAGCGGGGGCCGAGCTTCAGCTATCCGCGCTTGCTGCTCGTCCTTCGTGGAGGTTCGCGCCCAACTAGTAGTTAACAGAAACCGCATTTCTTCCTTCTGGCTCCCTCTCCTTTCGGCTGAAGGAGGTCAGGTTGGGGGGACGGACAAAGCTCGCCCCAACCTTCCTCTGAATTCCTTGGTGCTCTCGGTTGAAGCTCGTTTTCTTTCCAAAATGAAAGTCTCCCTCCGTCCCCACTTTTGTTCGACGCCTCTCGGTCATTTTTCTCTCAGTTCCCCGCCCTCCTCTCTCATTCAAGTTCTTCCCCTTACCGGCCCTATTCATCTTATTTTTTCTTTTTCTTTTTCTACTGGGCTTTCGTTCAAGCTTTCGAGTAATTTCACTCTGAAAGGAGAGAATTGCTAGTGGATCCTCCAGGCGCGCGGACCCATTTCCTGCGTCTTATTTTACGGCGGGTACTTTCTGCGACTCCCCCCTCATTTTTAATGCAGGAAACTAAAACGCTCGAAAACGGAATCCACTCCTCTGTGGTGCTTTCCTTTTCTTTGCGTCCGTTCTCCGAAACCATTCCTTTTAGCCTCCTAGTTTTGGAATGCAAGGCACCATAGAAGATTGGGAGGTATCAAAAAATCCCAAAGCAGGGAAAAGGAAGACCAAAATGAACGTGTATTTGGCAGCATAAACAAATCGGGCACATTGCTGTTTTCTCTCTAGTTAAGTACTCTTCTATAAGTTAAAGTTGTTACCGTTTTCAAAAGCTACTTATGGATGGGAAACTCTTAATTGTACTTGTGGCCATTCTGGTTGTTTGGTCACACCTTGGAAAGAGCATTCCAGACGATTCTATATAACTATGGTATGTAGGGTAATTTGAGTTAGCTTACTGTGGTTCCTTCTAGAAATGGCTTTTTTTAAGTTGTAAAATTTAAATATTCATTTTTAACATTTTAATGCTAATTTTCTTTTTAAAGAAATATTTTGCATTCATGCTAATATTTAGAACTATTCTGAAATACTGATTCATTTTCTAGTTCAAGATTACTCATGTAAAGATTTGTATAACATTTCAGATTCAATCATTAAGCTTTGAATATACTTGACCCAGGTAAAACTTTAAATATGACAAAAGTATTAACACTTCATAGATTTGCTTACTTGAGCTATCAATGATTCCTAAACAATTGTTAAGTGTATTCTAGTTAGATTGGTTCATTTTAAAACTGGCTTCAGGGAGATGGGAAGACTGATTGGTTGTTTGGAAGAAAGTTTGATTGGGTATATCTGGTTTTATTCATAATTAGAGAACTGAAATGCCTTTTGATTTTAATAATTAATTCTACATGGCAAATTTTGATCCAGTTTAATGAAAAAAATGCTATTTCTGTTTAAATGCACATGAATCAAAATTCATGGATTTTCAGTCTATAGGTTTCAGTTAATATTTTTCAATCATAAAGTTAGATTTAATTAGGAAGGAATAGAGTGTGCTGAAAGATAAGTACTCATGCTTTATCAAATTGCATTCATTACACACAAAGTTTTTCCAAGATAATTATAGAAATTGGATATTTCAAGAACATCTGCAAAAAACTGGACTAATAATAGATTGGATCCAGGTTTCACTGATGCTGAAGTAAATCTTGTGTATAAAAGTGGAATTATATTTTGAACATGACTAATTTTTATGTCTGGTTTATCATACTTTGAAAATGGCCCTTTAGTCCAACCCCCTTCTCAGTGTAAAATCCAAATTAATGCATTCTAAACAGCTGGCTGTTCATCTTTTGCATAAACATCCAGTCTGGCAAGATTTGTTCTTGACAAATTTATGTAACTTCTGATAAGTACTGCAGTGTTTCAAGATGTTTGGAGATTAATTTTTTTGAGTTATAGAATCTTCCTAGGTGTCTACATTTTTATGATTAGTCTATGGTTCTTTAATTCCTTTTTAAAGACATATACTTGATTCTTCCACTCACATGGTATTTTATCTATTTTCTAGTTCAGCAGTTCTCAAACATTTGGTCTTAGGACTCCTTCACATTGATTGAAGCCCCCAAAGAAATCTGGATTTTGTGGATTATATCTATCAATATATCAATATTCATTATATTAGAAATTAAAACTTGAGACATTTCCAAATATTTATTTGACTTCAATGACCCCTTGAAAGTGTCTTGGAGATCACTTTGAGAACATCTGTTCTAGGGTAATAGGATCATACATAAAGTCTGTCCTGGCCCATTAACTGTTTCTTTCAATACTCTCAAATACAGTGTCAAACTGATATGCACAGTATCCGAACAGCAAACTGATAATGTGCAGAGTGAAATTGTTACGTACTTGTGTTGTGACACATCTCTATAAATTGCAGTATTTGCATTATGATATAATTTTGTCACTTCGATCCGGTCCACAAACCCATCACTGGCAATTTAAATGTATATAAATTACGTGTTCTCTGACTGTGGTTCCGTTTCAATCAATTCTTCTCTTCATCCTGTTCTTTGTTGCTTGCTGCAATTATATCCTCCTTTTGGTGAAGACTTAGACAAAACAGGAGCAGAGTTTCTTAATATTTGTCAGCATTTTTTTGGTTTTTATTTGGCAGATGGTATAATTCTTCATTTTTTCTTCTATATCTTTTGATCCTATTTGAATAAACTCCTTTATTATTACTAGTATATTTTACTTCCAATTTATTCTGAGCTTTTGCTTTGCAACATCATTTGTAGATTGTTACTTGATTGTACCCCCTCTGTGTATAATGTTTTATTGAAAGTTTTAACAATAGTTAAAACTAAATAGTTAAAAAACAAACTGAAGTAGAACAAAAAAGGGAAGCAATAAAATTAAATGTGCAAAAAGAGAAAGTAGAAAAAAATGAAATCACAGCAATTTTCATCACAGCAATTATAAGTACAATTATATTTTAATCTCTAATTCTAAAATTATTTTCTTTTTATAATTTATCCTGTCTAATCGTCAAAGCCATAAATCACATTCACTTTTTCTTTTTTTGCACAAAAAACTCTTAAAAGATTTTCAATTACCAATAATATAAATATTTTCTCTACTGAGATAAGTTAATTTATCCAATTAAGCAAGTTCTGTCTTCAACTATTTCTCCATTGTAAGTATTATAAACTCTTTCCTTTTTTGTACATACAATAATGTCACTGCAGTTATCATATCTAAAAACAGTGCTTCGTGGTTCTTTCTAAATGTTTATCCTTCAGTCAGTGGTAGGATTCAGATATGTGAACAACCAGTTCCCTGTATGGATGCCGCTTCTGGAAATCCATTCTGGGCCTGGGCAACAAAAATTAGCTACCAGTTCAGCCAACTGGCTGAATCCCACCATTATAGTTCTAGGAAGAACAGTTCTGATTTCAGTTGAATATTATTCTTTAAAATCTTTTAAATTTATGTATTGGAACCCAATATTTTCTAGCTTTTTATATATCCACCAATTATGATAAAATGACCCTTCTGATTGTTTAACTTTCCAAATTAAAGTATCTTTATACACCTTAGATAATTTTTTGGTGTCATACCAATGGTCCGTGACTTTATACAAATTATCTTTAAGATTATAATGTAAATTTTAATCCTTTCAACCACATATTTTCCCATTGTTCCATTTGTTTAAGTAAAAAAATAACCCACTCTATTGTACATTCTTTGACCTATTCCAGTGGTGGCGAACATATGGCACGCGTGCCAGAGGTGGCACCCGGAGCCCTCTCTGTGGGCACACGTGCCGTTGCCCTAGCCCCGCCTCCTCCCACGGCCCTCTCCTTCCCAGCAGCCCCCCCTGGAGGAGAGTCGCCCCCGAGAGTGGCCCATGCGGAGCAGTGCAGCCAAGGACATGGCAGCCAGGCAACGTAGAAAAGACTCTGCCCTCATGCCCCATCATGCACAGTTGATGCTGCAGGGCGCGGGCAGAGGGCGTGGCCGCCATGGCGCTGCTGGGTGATCTGTGGCGGGCCCTGGAAGCGGTGGCCCTGTGGGCAGGCAGGGTGGGGTGGGGCAAGGGGTGGAGCAAGGGCGGGGCCAGTTTTTGGGCACTCAGTCTCTAAAAGGTTCACCATCATTGTTCTATAGTATATAGATTGGAATTTTTCATAATGTTCATAATGTATTTTTTTAAATTTCAACCACACATGAATAAAAATTCATTATGAACTACAGAGATAACTAGGAGGAAGCCATCAAGCACATTATATTTCTTAACCTATCCTTAATTTGAGATTATCGATCAATAACTCAGCTGAGAAACTTGTAAAAATAGGAAATGGGGAAAATGACTATGTTATGCTGGAATTCTTGATTTTAAACTGAATATATCTGTAGTAAGCATGTACTTTCAAAAAAACAAGCATTGATAACTTGATCAAAAAGAATTTAATGGGAAGATAGGTGAGAACTTATTAAAAATAGATATTAAATTACAATTTAAATACATTATTAGTTAAAAGAAAACAAGAGACAGTGCAGTTAGACAATTGTGTGAAAATCTTGAAAATAATGTATAGAAGATGGAAAGAGAACCAGAAATCAAAGAAAAGTACAACCAAGTAAAGATAAATGGTTAAAATATTGTGAGATAGTAGAATTTGATCAAGGGGAATATAAAATGAAACCTAAAGAACTAATAAAAGAGAGACATAGTTATCAATGGCTTTCTTACAATTATCAGAAAGATTTAAAATAGATGCATAGGTATAGTACAGGTAGTACCTGACTCAATAGTAGTAACTATGAGGGGGATCTTGGTGTCCTAGTGGACAATCACTTAAATATGAGCCAGCAGTGTGCTGCAGCTACCAAAAAAGC